CGTCGTGTACGCGTCGCGGCCTCTCGTCGCGTGCTCGTCGTTGGCGCGAGAAAAGAGGCGCGAACAAAAACCGCGCGAGCAGATTGTCGGCCCTTGTCGCAGCTGCGATCCAAAGATATGCACGAACGATTACACGCGTCACTTGGTCATTACCTTTTGCAACAATGGCTGGTTACATTGGTTTAGAGTGCCTTGGGAGAACGCGTCGCGGCGAGATAATAGGTTGCACGTGCCGTCCGTTTCGAAGGATCTTTCTTCCTCGCGGTAAGCACTCTCTCGTAGCCTGTGATTAAATTTAATCTCGCCTACATTGCGAGTAATAATTACGGAATAATTACGAGAACGATCCGCGGATCCGCGGTGTCGACGTCTTTCGAGTTTAGAAAAGAACGTTGTTACGGAACCGCCAACACCGATTACACAGGCGTGGTGAACGTTTAAGTCGGCATATTTGTATTACCGAGCTGACAATACTTTGCGAGCAGCTCGTAGTTAGCACGTAGTTAACTTCGTCGAGACTTCGCCGAGACTGCGTTTACAGGTTTATCCGAAAAGGGATAAACTTCGGGATCTTCGTCTTGCACCGGTGACACCGATGACGAATCATCGTCAGCGTTGCTCGAATAGGCTTCGATCCGGAATATCCGATGGAGGACGTGGCGTGGACGTGATCCCTTGCTAGGTCGGTGTTCGTGTAACTGGGCGCTCGTTGAATCGCAGGATTTCGTGACATCGGCTGCTCTCCATTCTTTCATGGCTGGACTGGTATGCGGGCCGGTTGTATTCCTACAGAAACCAAGAGGTTTCTGTTCAACCTAGAAACCGCTTTCTGCAATACCACGAGCAACGGAGAAAAGACTGGCTAGTAATTAGAAACGATTATTACTCACGCAGAGATCTTGATCATCGCCTTCTTTCTACTTTGCTTGCGTTTATCTTCCACGATCGAGGCTCATCGATGCAGGCGGATAACGGCTAGATCGTACCTAGTAATTAATCTCTTAACGTCTCCAGCGTCTCGTACGTTCGAGAAACTTATTATTCCAATAACTGGCGATATAATATTTTCTTCAATTTCCCTAGCCTACGGTACGAAGGATCTCCTTCGCGAGTTGATCGTATCTGCGTCGAACGCGCGACGAAACAGGGGAATCAACGGCGCGCAGGTTGAAAGTGAAATCAGTATTGCGGAAAGAATGTTGCGCATAACGCGTAATTGAAGACGCCAAGTAGGGTTATGCTACTCTTTTCACGGTTGCATGGAAGACACGGTAAAACGAGCCTCTCGAACGTTCGAATACCATTTTCCCTGAATGGTTAGAACGGCCGTGCCAGCGTGTCCCGGTGAACGCTCTATCTTTCATATCTGATCGCCTCGACGAATCGAAACTTCGATAACGCTTTTTACCAGCGCCCCGGTACAGCCATTCCACCAGTTCCACGGCGAGAGACGAATAATTACGACAACGGTGATTACCGTGCTCACCCGTGTTTTACTTGCACTTGGCCATGCTTATCAGCGAAAGTTAACGAGTCCTTCCGATGAATTAACGAGAGAAAATTGTTTCCACGAGTGCGCTCTGCGCCCTCCTCCATCTCTAGGCGATCCTCTCTTCTCTCCATATTCGGACGAGATCGATTTTCTAATTTAACTACCGCATCGCGACCGACTGCCGAGAAAACGGAACGAAAACAAGAACTGGTTCGATGGCACACTTCTCCACCCACGACCATCAATCGGAGCGCGAGTTTCAGCCTTCGAATCGGTAGACTCGCCTTTCTTCCAAACGAATCGCCGAAATCGATCGGTCGATCCGTGTTAAACCGCGAAGCGAGAAAACAAGAAGCCAAGATCAGCAGACGAAGGAAAGTTTTCGCAACGGGATTACGTAATGTGGAATACGCGCCATTCATCCTGGCGCGCCATGGCGTGCCAAAACGGTGGAAGAAACGCAGAGAATCTGGAGCTGCGGCTCGTTACGAAACGGAGAGAAAAAGGATTCAAAGGTGAATTCATTCTCATCTAAAAGGGATTCGCCGGACCTCGTCTGATCGCGTAACGCTCGTCGCGCTTCAGCCCTGTGGTTAATCGCGCCGTGCTAACGTTATTACGCATTCCGCGTTCACAAGCCCCGAGACACATAATGGGAAAGTGGTCGGAGGTAACGGGGCAAGAGCCCGTAAATGGAAGACTTTCTCTGACGGAGGCGTCGTGGGCACGCAGGGTCAAAGTCTGCTTTGAACGCGAGAGCTTTGATGTTCGACCGGGTTTTTAGATCTTCAACGAGAACCGTTATCCGGGTCGAGGAATGGATCGAGAGTAAATTCCGACTAGCTATCCGACTCCGGATCGTGTCAGTTGCTAGCTCTCCGGTTGATCGATAGTTCGTTAGTCTCCTAAAGCGGTACTTTAATAACGTGGTTGTTCGGGAAATATAGGTGTCCCGGATTTAGGATAGTTTCAGGTTTTAGTGCCAACTCGCCGGTATCACCGAGTTATTTCGGGCAGATTACTTCAGAACCGGAAGACCAGCCCGCGATAGCCGGTTCGTCCGACAGTTCGGGTCTCGACGGTAGTCGCTAACGAAACTTTCTCATTTTTGTTCATTGTCTCGTGCTTTTTTGCAATATCGTCGGAGGATGAGAGAACGGTGCCATTCTCTTTGACCAGTCTAGTCGGCCAGTTGCATAGGCACTCGGTGCAAGCCGTTCTACGCGGTTTCGCGTGCCGCTGACGAGGTTTCTTTCCCGATGATTGACAAAAGTTGACGCGAAAACGGATTGGCGTGCCGCAAACGGCCGTTCAACCGTCGGATTAGCTCTGTCTATATGAGTCAGGCGTGCCTGTCTTGTTGCATAAAAGACGCTTAAGTATGCATAGAATCAGCCATACGGAACGATAAGACGACGAAGCCGTGAAGTAATGGGAAAGATTATTTATGGATTGCGATATCTCTCTATCTCTAGCTGAATTACGACGATCTCGGAAAGTTCCCGTGGACGTGCCTTCCTGACACAGATTTCGCCTGGAAAATTCATGAATTTTAATTGTTCGTAAATTGCGAAAAGCCGCCGAGTCTCCAAAACGTCGATCGCTTTCCAGTATTTCACCAGCGAAATCTTCCCGGCTAGATCCTCACCACGTAGCGGCGTTACGCGATGCCACGCGTCGCGTCCCGACGCGGTACCGTTTTATCTGCCTGACAAATGGCCCGATATATTAACTCGCTCGTAAAGAACCGCAATTAAAAAGCTGCCAGCGATTTCGGATAGAAATTATTCTTCGCCGC